TGGCAGCTGCGCTGGGCTGCTACCCGCGACAAGAGCTGCAAGCTGCCCATCCCGAAGGGCTCCATGGGCTTCCCGCTCATCGGAGAGACCGGCCACTGGCTGCTACAGGTAAGGGCGCGCTCGCTCTGCCGCTCTCCCGGGTCCGCTAGCTGCGAGCGCCCGGCAGACCCAGCCGAGGGAAGGCCGGGGGACGCCCGGAGCTCGAAGGCATTCGTCCCCGCCCCGCCCCTTCCCTCGCTCTGCCTGCACCGCCCGGGTTTCTCCTGCCCGCCTGCAGCGTGGCTCGGAGAACACTGGCGCCCGGTGCGCCAGTTGATAGGGTCAATAAATGAGGTTCCTTGACCAGACCGGACTCCCAAACAGATGTGCCTCCATCGCAGGCGACCAAGCAGGGGTGCACAAAAGGCCCCAGACAATCCTCGCGTTGCGCGAGATCAAAGGGGCATCAGGTTCTGAGCTGCTGTCTTCTGCTTTTTGCGCTCCAGGCCCCAGTCCCCCTCAGTGTCCTGGGCTTTAACGGTCACGCTCGGGCCCAAAAATTGAGTCTAGAGACGAGGAGTGGCGTGAAGGTCATCTTGAATTGCCCCTTTAAGACCAGGGGTGTATCTCTGCCCTGTAGCCAGCTATGCCAGGTACAACAGCCCTGGTCCGTTGTCCTTGCGAGTGTGTGGGTGTTTTGTGGTGGAAGAGAAAGAAGGTAACCCAAGAAAAATGAGAGGCCTGAGACCCGAGGCCTCTGGACTTTCAGAGGGGGAAAGGGTCTGTTTACTTATTGGGTGGGGACAATTAAGCAAGAGAAAGAAACTTTGGAGAAGTGTGTGGGAGATCCATAGGGAATGTAAGTTGTGTCTGTTAGACGCCAAACAATCCCACTCTGCCAGTGATCATGGGGGTGGGGCTCGTCGAGGACCAGACCCAGGTAAATAATGGGGCGATTAAAGTGGAGTTATCCTTGTCAAATACTAGATTGCCACTTTTGCAATTTGATACACAGCTGGGTATCAAAGGGGGAACACCTTTGGGGTAACCTCCAAGGTGTGTCTGGGTTTAGGTGTGTGAGTGTACGGTTTGTCCAGTGGGTGCTGAGGTGTGTTAGGGAAAGCCTGCATATCCTGAGACAGACAATCTCGGCACAGGAAAGGTGAGCATTGGGAGCTGTGGGTTTAAAGATGCAAAAGCTTGGCTTGAAATTAACAGACGCGTGCAATCCGAGCGCGCACACACCCGCCCCGCCCCGCTCTGGGCCAAGTGACAGCGAGCCAGGTGGAGGTGGGAGGTGGACGAGGTTCCTCTATTCTGTGGGCTTTCCCTGTCACAGAGTCGGTCTTTTTGAGGGTGTTCGTCCAATGAGGTGGGGTTCACTTCAACCAGTAAGGACTATCCCTCAGAAATAAATCCTCAGAGCCTCTGCCGGCCACAAAGAGTTAACTTCGGCGTGGTTTAGGCTTTTGACCGCGAATTTAGAAAATAAAATAGCTCACATAGGCAATAACTCCCGCCTTGTTAGACCCAGTCTGTAGAATCCACTCATGGCCTGTCTCCCCCGTCCCCATCCCGTTTCCTGACCTTTCTTTGCCCCCTCATGGCCTCTTGACCCCCCACAATGACCTCTGGGGGTCTACATGCAGACTGCACAGAAGTCGGGGAAGAGACTCTGCACTCCAGGGCCCTAGATCCTGCGAGGGTGGGGATGCATTGGGGGGTTGCATGTTGAGGATGCTGAAAGGGTTAATGAGAGCCCTCTGAATCCCAGCGTTATTTTTTTCGGAGTCATTTATCAGATTTTACGGGGGGACCTCCAAGGGCTCTCCGTTTCCATCGAGCGCCATCTAAACAGAGCCCTGGGCTAAAAATATAACATTTTTGTATAAATTGGACTCGTGGCCGGAGCGGCCGCCCCTATGAAAGTCTTCTTTGTGAAGACCGTGGAAACGGCAGACAAATAACTCTTTATTAATGCCACAAAAAACGCACTTTAATTATAGTTAGGTAGATCAGAGGCGGGGGCTGGGGGCATGCGACGGCAACGTCGGAAAATTCACAACCCAACTTTTCTGTCTAAAGAAAAGAAAAACAGAGGAAAAGAAGAGAGACGGGAGAGTCAGACGAAGCGAAGGACACCCTTTAGCAGACTGAGGAAGGGAGCCCCGCTCCTCATCCCCCACCCCCGTCGCACCCCACCTCCGCTTGTTTTTTTCTTAAAGGGCTAGACGCCGCGTACGACGGAGTCGCGGTTGGGGGGAGCTCTTCCCGACCCTCCAGCCAGCGTTCCCCGCGGCCCGTCCCCCCTCTCAGCGGCTCGGGAGCTCTCGGCTCGTTCCCCGTCGCGCGCCGGGGCCGGAGGCCCATGTGGAAAAGTGATTAGGAATCCGGGTTCTGCAGAGTCACTTTTCGCAGGGCTGGAGTGTATACACATCTTGCTGGAGAAGTTTTCAGTGGAAGAAAGAAAAAATGAGGAGGGGGACTAAACCTGGGAAGGAGGGGGCTCATTGTTCCCTGGGGAGTTGCAGGACCTGGCGGTTGACTCTGGAGGCGGAGGGCGCACGCCTTCTGGAGGTCAAGAGGGGAGGCAGACAGGTGGCTCCCCTGCCTTTCTCACCTGCAGGAGAAGGGTTAACTTGGCCTGGGGTGGAGAGTACCGACGTCAAAGGTGAGCTAGATGCCACTGCCACCACCCCTCCGAGATCCCCTCGGTGTCTCGTACCCGCGGGCTGCGCTCTCCGCCAGCTCCTGCGAGCTCTGGGCTCAGGCTGGGGCCCCGCGATCCTGGGC